TCATATAATTCCATAGTTCATTCATTTACAGGGCTGCATAACATTTCATTAAAGAAATATAATATTTTTTTCAATCTCTCTCTCTCTCTCTCTCTCTCTCTCTCTCTCTCTCTCTCTCTTTGGTACTAGGGATTGAACCCAGGGTCACTTAACCACCCAGCCACATCCCTAGTCCTTTTTATGTTTTATTAGAGACAGGGTCTTTCTGGGTTGCCTAGGGCCTCCCCAAGTTGTGGAGGCTGGCTTTGAACTCATGATCCTCGTTCCTTAGCCTCTTGAGTCACTAGGATTACAGACATTTGCCACTGTACCCAGCTTCATCTCTTCTTGATGGACTTTTGGGTGGTTTCCTTTTTTTTTTTCTTTTTGCTGTAATATCCACTGCTATGAGAAACATTTTGGACATTTTTTGGTATACCTGTCTGCAAGTTTTTAAAGGGTATTTATTTAGGAATGAAATTTTCATGTCATGGAGTAGTATGTGTTTTCAGTTTTACCAGATGATGCTAAATTGTTCTTCAAAGTGGCTGTATCAATTTTTWAAAAAAATTATTTTACTTATTCTACTTTCTCATATATGACAGCAGAATTTAATTCAATTCATATTACACAAATAGAGAACAATTTTTCATGTCTCTGGTTGTACACAAAGTAGAGTCACACCATTRGTATTAGTTTTCATACATGCACTTAGGGTAAGAGTGTCCATCTCATTCCACTGTCTTTCCTACCCCCATCCCCCTCCCTTCTCCTTCCTCTCCTTTACCCTATCTAAAGTTCGTCTATTCCTCACATGCTGCCCCCACATCCCTATTATGAATCAGCATCTTTATATCAGAGAAAACATTCAGCATTTGGTTTTTTGGGTTTGGCTTGCTTCACTCAGCATTATATTCTCCAACTCCATCCATTTACCCGTAAATACCATGATTTTATTCTCTTTTAATACTGAGTAATATTCCATTGTGTATATATACCACGTTTTCTTTATCCATTAATCTACTGAAGGTAGGATACCTAGGGTGGTTCCACAATTTAGCTATTGTGTATTGTGCTGCTAATTCCTCCAATAATACATACAAWTTCATATTTCTCTGACATTTAGCAGTAGATATTAACATTTGACTAATGTGAAATAATATCTCATTATAGTTTAAGTCTGCACCTGTCTCACAACTATTGAGGTTTGAACTTTTTTTTTCAAGTGTTTTAGTGGCTTTTCTCTTTTCCTGTGTCATATAAACTTAAAATCAGCTTGCCAAGGTCCGTGGAAAATTTGTTTTTGGCTTTTTGATTGGACTTATATTGAGTTTACAAATGTGTTTGAAATTCAGTATCTTTGTGATATTGAGCTTTCTGTCTATGATTAAGGAATGATGAAGATATTGATTTCTTCAGTTATCTCCATCTTAAATGAAGTCTTCAATAAAGTAATTTGTTCTTTAAATGTCTTACTAACAAACATTAGATTTATTCTATGTGACTTATAGATGTTATTTTAAATAGTGTCTTTTTGAAATCTACCTCTTATTCCTATTTCTTGCTAATTATTGAAATGTAATTGACTTTTATTTATTGATCATGTGTCTCAAAAACTTCAATCTGTTATTAATTCTAACATTTCGCTTATTAATATACTTGAGTTTTCTGTGTAGAAAGTGAATAATGATAGTCATTTCTTCGATTCAAGTGCTGATATTCTATCTTTTCTTCTTTCTCATTTTACTGTGCTGGCTCTGTCCTTCAGTATGATATTGAATAAARGGGATAATCATGCACATCTTTGTCTCAGTCCTGATTTTAAGGAAATGCTTCTAACGTGATACCATTAAGTACCATATTTGCTGTGGGTTCTCCTTTTTTGTAATTACTCTTTAACTGTTTTTAGGCTGCTGTCTAATAAGATAAATTCCTTGCTTTTAACCCATACATCAGTTTTTTAGGGAAGTTACATCTTTATTATATTGGATCTCTCTACTCATGAACAAAGTATGGCTCTCCATTTATCTAGTTCTTTATTTATGTCTTTTCAATAATATATAGGTTTTTCTCCATTGAGATCTTGCCTATCTTTTGTTGGAATCATTTCTATGTTATGTTTGATGCTATTATATACAATATCACTGTAGTGTTCTTAGCTCTTTTTTCGTTTTGATTTCCTACASTTTTACTTATTTTCTTAACATCTCAACAGTGGATTTGAGCAAATGTTTTTATGTCTTATCCCACATCTCTACGTACATTATAGCCACAGGGTTTTTTTTTTTTTTCCTCCTAGATTATTTAGCACAAGATTTCTCAGCCTCAGTGCTGTGAGCTTTTTGCCTGGATAATTCTTTGTTGTGGGGGRATGTGTATAGTGGGATGTTTAATAGCATCCCTGGCCTCTGTACACCAGATCCTAGTAGCACCATCTGGAGATGGTGACCAGAAATGTCTCTAGACATCATCAAATTAACCCAGAGGTCCAAAACTGCCATGGATAAGAACCATTGATCTGGCGCCTATAATATTGCAGAAATTTCCCTTATGTCTTTAAATTTATTTTAAGATAACTTATTTTAAATTCTTTCAGATGTAGTTTCCTAGGATGTGAATTCTGTTTGTTTTGTCTACTGTCATGGTGATTTTTATTTTTGTGCATAGTGGTTTTTAAACATGCATTTACCTTCTGCAGAAGTTCTTCACCTGGAATCTCTCCTGCTCTGGGTTGGGAAGGTGGTCCTATGAGTAGGTTTTGTGTTTGATTCTGAAGACACTAARGGCTTCCCTAGTCTTAGAGTAATGTTTATGTTCATTTCTTGCCTACAGTTTAAAGAAACCCCAACCAAGTCATGATTACTTGGATCCTAGCCTGACCTCTCCCTTATATGGTTTTCTTTCTCAATCGTGACATCTCTAGCCACAGTTAACTGCCCCCATCATGGTCCCAGCATGCCTATACTGCATCTAGGTGGCCTGGTTCCATGTAGGGATCTGTATTTTTCTTTTGGTATTTTCTCTCAGTGTGCCAGATGCTACCACTGAGTAATTTGGATTTTGCTGCCAAACTATACCCTCGTTAGCACAGAGGGAAGATAGCATGCCAGGGCTCTTGTTGAGTGTGCGTGACTGGCAGAAAGCAGTCGTGGGTATAACTGTTGGAGAGGAACTGAGCGGATAATTTTTTAAAGAATTATCTAATTTTGTTAACTCTTGATGGCATCATTATATCACTGATAATGACGAATTATATAGAGGGCTACTTTTAAAAATAGAGACTTAAACATTTCATTTCTGGTAATTCTGTTTGGTTCGTTTTCAAATGTGTCTAGTGAACTTGGATAATATTTCTTACTCTTGTGTTTAATGACCTTGTATTTATTTTATTTTATTTTTCCCTCTTATTTTATTCCTTCTAGTGTATACAAATATTTTAGATAGTAGTTTATAATAACATCTACTCACAAGATTGTGGCTTTTAGTGAGTACAGTATAAAAAGAACTTTTTTTTCTTTTAAATATATTTTTAAGTTGTAGATGGACACAGCACCTTTATTTATTTATTTTTATGTGGTGCTGAGGATTGAACCCAGCGTCTCACACATGATAGGTGAGCGTTCCACCGCTGAGCCCCAGCCCCAGTCCAAACTTGGTGTTCTTTTCATGGAAACTGGCATATTAGGTTAAAGTACTATTAGTCTGTGAGTGTAGATTTTACTCTTTCTGAAACACTAAAATTAGCGTTCAAATTTCAGACAAAAAAATAAAGTCATTTTGAGTACCAATTTTTGACTTTGAGTAGTCATTTTAGTAAATTTCATTTTTCCCTTTACTCACACACAACCCTACTTYGATGAAGTTTAGCTGAATGGACACAGGATTGACACAACCATTCCGAAACTAGACAAACATACTTGTACGAAGAGAGTCGATGTGTTTCCATTTATTTTTTGCTAAGATTGTCTTAACCTGAACACTGTCTCATAGGAATAGGTAAGGAACTTGCCCAGAACAGAAGAGCTGATTTATCGTAAATTAAAACTATGAAACTTAAAAGTAGAATAGATAGTGATCACCATTTGCAACTTAAAATTTGAAAAAAGAAATGTTGAATTTTAATGGAAGAAGTTAAGAACACACCCAAGGAATGAGCTTCCCAACTCCCACCCAGACCGCATCCCCAGGATGAGATCTTTCCCTGGGTCTCCTGTACCAATTCCTTGCTTCCACAGATGCCATCAGGTGTGGGCTGATTGCAATTGCAGTCACGTAGCAGTCTACTGAGAGTTTGGGACATCTGGCATATCCGTGGGGCTCAGGGTCTGAAGGCCTAATCAAAACCTCACAAGGTCTTTTCTCAGCCCAGTGCCAAGTCCCATGTGCATCCAGATGAAGTTGGGAAAAGGGCTTGGGCTTTAGAGGCTGAGCTACAGGTGTGAGTGCAGGTTTTAAAGAGCAACTGAAGAAAAGGGGTGGGCAGGGACAGAAGCCTATTTCCCTCTTGTTCTTGATACCCCACAGAGAGACCTGCATTGGCCCAAGTCCACGTGGGTGGGGAATCACTGCAAGTGGAAGCTAACCCCTGTGACACCAGTTTCTGTATTCAGTTCCTTAGTCATTGAGCTTTTTCCTCTTCCTCCCCCGGAGGGCACTGGTGAACTTAGTCATTAATTCCCTACTTGTGATTTTCCCTTACTCTGCTTTACATTCTGATAAGTTCTGACAAAGCATGTGGGATTTTTTGGAGAAAATTTTGTCTTAGGTTTCATTTCCTTTACCATGTAGATCTTTTTCTCTGGTTGTCTTGGGTTTCAGATTAGTCTTGGGTTTTGGCTTCGTCTACTGAGGATCTCTCTCTCTCTCTCTCTCTCTCTCTCTCTCTCTCTCTCTCTCTGTAAACTTAAAACGTATGAATTCAATCTATCAGGTTAGGGAGACCAGCAAGAAAGGGAAAAACTCTGAATCTAAACCATAAGTTACTTTGATAAAAGGATTAAAAAAATCTACTCTTACCACAGAACTTCTGCACTGGGAAGAACTCTGAAAGAAATGAAGAAAGCCCTCAGAAATGAAGTTGGTGACCTGGCGGCTCTCTGTTGAGCACTATACTACTGTTCCTTAGGATGGCACTGTGCCAGACATCTGCCGAGGTCATTCTTCAGGTGGAAGAGGCACTTGATGAAGAAGAAAAGGAGATGCTGTTCTTTTTGTGTCTGGATATTACTGAAGATGTAGTTCCACCTACAGTCAGGGACCTTCTGGATATTTTATGTGAGAGAGGGAAGCTGTCTATGGGGCAGTTGGCCGAGCTGCTCTACAGAGTGAGGCGGTTTGACCTGCTCAAGCGGATTTTGAAGATGGACAAAACAGCCGTGGAGGCTCACCTGCGCAGCYATCCTCACCTTGTTTCGGACTATAGGTAAATCATCAGCTCCTCTGCAGGCTTGACCGGTGGGAGGGYGTGAGGTGGCCTAGGCTCTACTGAATGACAAAAATAAGGACAGTAACAAGAGCAGCCACATCACTTTCTTTTCCCTCTCATCCAAGTGCTACCTGATATCACTTCATTGCTTTGAACTCTTTGAATTCTTAAAATGTGCTTGCTTGAAGGAATTGGGTAGAAGAGCATAATGACAGTGGAAGGGACAGATGGTACATGTTTGCCTGAAGGACAGAATGACAAGAAAGGAAGAAAGATGGGAACCACTGAGAGCTAGTAATTCTTGCCAGCTTCTGGCAGTGTGAGAGCCGCAGTGGTGTGGCTAGCTGATTTTCTGTGATGTCATTTTTTTTGACAATTTCCGGAACTCAGAAAGGAAATAACAAGTCTATAATAATCTTCCTATCTTTGTGGAACTCCATGACACCCTGACTTTCTGTCAGTCGTTGCCCTGCAGAGGAAGTTTAGCGGGGTGAGTTTCCTTCTGGTGGTCCTGCCCTGGGAGACCCTGGGGAACTCTTCAGTTGACCGCCTCCTAAGCCCCCTTCAGGTCAAAAGGGAGAACAGCAGCTGAGGTCCTCTTAGGTTCAGGCGYCTCTTCCTCCTGCTCTCAGGATATGTCTTAAAGGTTCAAAAGGGGCACAGAAGTCATWGGAAAGAATGAGTTTTCTGGTGGGGGAGGAAGAGAACTTGTTCCTAAGCTGCTGTTTCTTTTTTCTCCAGGCCACCAGCCTTTTGTTCAATCGATAATGTTTATTTGGAAATGATATATATTATCAAGAACTGTACTAAAGRGAGCTGAAAGCAGTGTGGGCTTTGGAAAGTATAACAGAGTTGAGGCTGCAAGGCCCGTTTCAAGTCTCACATCTACAATTATATGCCCTGCAGGGTGGCCAGTCACTAACCTTTGTTTCCTGGCTGTAAACTGAAGAAGAATAATATCCAACTTCAGAAGGCTATTGTGAGCACCAATTGATCATGTGCTTCTTTGTTTTTGTATTTATTTATTTATTTATTTATTTATTTAGATACTTGGGATTGAACCCAGGGGTACTTTGCCACTGAGCTAAATACCAAGCCCTTTTTATTTTTTATTTTGAGGCTGGCCTCAAACTTGCGATCCTCCTGTCTCAGCCTCCAAATAACCCTGATTACAGGAATGTACCTCTGTGGCTCCAGCAAATTATTATTATTTTTAATTATGAAGCATTCTGCAGGAAGCAAAGGATTACTGTTGTTATTATTCTTGATCTTTTTCCATGTGTCCAACCATTATATATTGTCATGTACCTTCTTCACATTGGGAGGCTCTGACTGGGTCTGGTAGTGTGCTCTCTCCGTTCTGCATCTCTTGGAGTGGAAATAGTGCATCAGGCCCTCTGGAAGAGAGGCTGGAGCTCTGGGTTCTTCATCCATCTGTTGAGCAGGYTTCAATGTGTAGCAGTGTGTGCCTGGTGTTTGTTGAGCTCTGGGGAAAAATGAATGAAGAATCTCCCATTCCTAAGAATCTGGGAGTCTAACTGGGAAAACGACCTTCTAAGCAGTGATGACAATATGCTGACAGTCATGTTAACCACAAGACATCCTAGGAGCTCTAACTGGAGCAGAGGTGATTGTCAGCAGGACTTTGTAGACCAAGACATCTCAGGTCAGAATMCCCATGATGTAGGCACCTTTTGCCTTTTGCATTCAAACGTGGGCCAGGATATCCCAGGCATTTCTTTGCTTTAGAATCTTGTGATGATGGCYCCTGAATCAATACCACCTGGAAGCTTGTCAGGGGAAGAAGATRGCCAATTCAAATTCTATTTCTGCCTTACATGGTAGTCATTTGGGTTCTTACTTCATTTCACTGTAACTTGTGGGGAAGCTAGGGGATTCTTCAGGGAAGTTTTTATTCTCTGAGTTGTTTTCAGAATTGTTAGTTGAAAGGGAGGTACCGTGCCCTGTTGAAAATAGGAAAGGATGAGTTTCACCTCAAGATCTCTTTCTTGGGTGATCTAAGCTTTCTGTTTTATGGGGGCGGGGGGGGGGCATGTTCACATGGGGGCAAGTCTTTCAACCAGTTAGTTAGTCTTTCAACCAGTTAGTTAGTCTTTCAACCAGCATGGGGGAGGCATGGGCTCTTGGAGTTTTCATGAGGACTCATTTGAGTTTACTAAAGCAACTTCTCTGGTTTATAGGGTGCTGATGGTGGAGATTGGTGAGAATTTGGATAAAAAAGATGTATCAGCACTGCTTTTCCTCATGAGGGATTACACAGGCCGAGGCAAGGTCTCCAAGGACAAGGTGAGTTTTCTCTTTTTGGGTCATGTTCTCCAGAGCCTGTCAGCAGGGGAGACTGTACCTTGCAGTACAGAAGGGAGGGCAGCAGGCAGTCTGTCGCCACTGCGTTAGTGGGAGTCAGACACCTGATGTGACTTTCTCCTGACACCAATGGCAAAAGGATTGGTTTCTAAAGTGAGAAGAAATAGAAGGATACTGTCTTCTGATGTAGCTTTGGGTGTTTCATCCTTRATGAAAGATTCATCTGTAAACTTCACAGACCTGGCATGTATTATCAGTTTTCCTCCCTGATTTGACAGATTGTCTGGCAGGGTTAGGAAGTCCCATTTGCTTGTGCTGAGTAGAGCCAGGTGGGAAGGGCCAGTCTACTCCCATCTTGCTCCCCTGCTGCCGTCTATTTCTCTTCAGCTAGTTCAGGGTCAGTATGGGGTCATGAGGCTACATGTGGAGGCCATGAGGGGGCAGGTCCTTGTGCCTGATATTATCTGGGAAATGGCTAAAGGAGAKATTTAGGGTTGAAGCCAGATGGGGTGAAGATCTTAGTGATGTCATGATTGCTGGAAGAGTATTTAAATCCTAGTTGACCCCACTTGGCATTGCTGAGTTCAGGACAGGCCAACAAGTCTGCATTTCTAGTACATGACAGTAGGCCTTCCACGTGGCCAGATTGCATCTAAGGACTCTGGTTAGTCATTACTTAAGAAATTTCTCATGTTTCTTAATGATCTTAGTTCTATTTCTGAAATCTGAGAAAAACAGGATGACTGCATTTCTCTGTCAAATGCAAAATGAGAAGAAGTTCTTTTTTTTATTTCCCCTAATCAACTTCTCCCTTGTCATTTACATATATTAAATTATGTTTACTATTTTTAAAAATAAAAATAGCACTTTGGTAAACAAATGATGAACACAAAAGGAATAAAATACAAAGCAGTTTCTTTTTCTGACAGTGTCTGTTGCTCAAGGCAAACCAACAGCAAAATAGCTAAACTTAGTTCTGATTTTACCTCTCCACAACACCCTGAGTCAGAATGAGTTGGAGTGTCTGATTAAAATAATTTAAGAACTTTAAAGTTGTGTTACGAGGATTTTTCTCATAAAATCTTTCTCCCAGCTTCCCTCTTGTTCTCTCTTTTCAGAGAAGCCCTTAAAGTTTTCAGTATGACTCCAACCTGGCCTTCTGAAAGAGAAGGATCTCAGGAGGGTTTTATTTTTAGGCCTGCATTTTCATAATATACCCCGATGACACAAAATGGCCCATGTGTCTATCATCAACTTAGAGATACATTGGTGACTGAAGGACAAGTTACCACCTCTTTTTTTTTWWAATTTAAAATTYAAGAGCGTAATTTGCTTMGGACAGAGGTATCCAGATTAGAATCACTGAAGRTCACAGAGAGGGCTCATCTTTTCATGTTTTCTTGCTGTTATAAATCACTTGGGCTGGGGTTTGCTTTGGGATCTTATCAGTCAGCTCCACTGATGCTTGTTCCTTGTTGGTGGCTCTCTTAGAGTTTCTTGGAKCTGGTGGTTGATTTGGAGAAACTGAATTTGATTGCTCCAGATCAATTGGATTTATTAGAAGAATGTCTAAAGAACATCCACAGAATAGACCTGAAGACAAAAATCCAGAAGTACAAGCAGTCTGGTAAGAAGAATTTTGGCCTCTTGGTCATCTAAAGCAAATATTCTGAGTCTAGTAGTTATGATTGGTAAAGACTGATTTGTCAGATGGATAGATAGAATGGAACCTGAAAGTCCACAGCCTGCTCTAGCCTGTGGCTACAGATCGCATCCATTTGCATCCTCATATCCCAGATCTGTCAGCTCCATTGCCCATATTTACCACCACAGGGTCTTAGCCCTCTGTCAAATGCCACCAAGCAGTTCTTAACATTCTGGCCCTTAAGAAAGAGTCTGTACCCTAATTTTCACAGGCTGGTGAAGCTATGGACATTTAGGGATGCTACCCTACTGCCTGTCTCCAGTATTCAGCCTGATGACCACCATCCAAGTCTGGGTGTGTCACTGAGGTCCCAGAGCTGTCCTGGATATGTTCCAAGTTTCAGCCCTCCTCATGGAAAAGAGCAATTTCTTCCTTGATAAAGGGGGATCAGAGTCACATTGCCTTTCTCCCTCATACTCCCACCCCCMTTGTCTTTTAGCATCAGCCTGAATGTGGGCTGCGTTAGCAGTTGACTACCACCGTGGGGCTTGGCTGAGACCCACTGATCTATATAGTACTCTTCTACCCTCACATTTTCAAATGATGGACAGTCAAGAATAGGAGAAGCAGTTTTAATCCATCCTTACTGATGCTTGGTAGAAGAGTCATCTAAGATGATATTTTGAATTTAGTTATGTGGTTGAAAAGTTTAGGGTAGTTGAAAGATGAGGATTGACCTTGAGCTGAACCATTGTTGAAGATTCATTTGATATGATATATATAAACCATTGTTGAAGATTCATTTGATATGATATATATAAAAATAAAATTCATTTATATGATATATATATATAATAATTTATATATCTTAACTAGAACTCTCTTTTGTATTTATAGCTCAAGGAGCTATGAAAGGAGCAGGAACAAGTTGTGTGAATTCTCTCCACACCTCTYTCCCAAACTTGAGTCTCAAAGATCCTTCATATAGCATAAGGGTGAGTCTGGAGCAAATATATGGACTTCCAGCATGAAACAGTTACAGAGTTTTAATCAAAGTATACATATTCTCCTAGTATATATTTAATATCTGAACAAATTGTTATAGAAATGCATATATGTTTTATGTATAACTTTTTATGATTACAAAGCTAAAAAGTGTTCATTGAGCTATCTGGAAAATAGAAACATACCAGGATGAAACTAAATCACCTACCTCCTRCTACTCAAAGACAACTACTGTTATTATTTTGAAATATTTTCTTCTAGTCTATTTTTCATGGATGATAGCCTGTGTGTCTATATGTGTAGTTGAACTTGATTTTCATTAAAAAATAGATAGGATGTGCCTATGGACAAAAATTTCAAAGTATACTAAAATAAAATTTAAAAGTAAGTTTCCCTCCTCCCACATAATACTGACCCCCAGTTCTTTCTCTAGAAGCAGCTATTGTTAAATCAGTTTCTTCTGTAATCGTATAGAGGCTAGTATATGCATATATATTCCATTTTTTCTTTTGTACAATTGGTATCATATCATGACCRTTGTCCTGATCCAAAAATTCTTGAGCATTGTTCCATATGATCCAGGTGGGACTGCTTCTATTTAATCATTATTTTAATGATTTTAATTTTCTAGGTGTATCATAATGTGTTTATTCCTTATGGATGTATATCAATATTGCTTATTGTTATTTATATTGTTTTCAATTGTTGTTACTATAACAGTRCTAAAAAATAAATATCCCTATGGCTTACCTCTCTATGCATTTGCTTTTTTACTGAGGTTATTCTAATAATTTTTGCAAAAGTGTTTTGTTATTGAATAATAAAACAGATTTTTTTTTTTTTGGTTCACAAACACAAGTATGACATAGTCACTTATGGTTGTTGTTGTGTTAGTAGTAAGTTTTACAGGACTCATCAGAATTGTTTTTGGTTAATCTTTTATCTTGAGAAGAACATTGGTGTAATCTTTTTTTTGGGGGGGTGGTCCTGAGGATTGAACCCAGGGCCTCACACATGCAAGGCAAACACTCTACTACTGTGCTACAACCCCAGCCCAGCAYTGGTGTAATCTTATCTTTGTCCATATAAAGTTATATGGAATTTGTAGTGAGGTCAYAGGCCAGAATGCATTTTCATGATTAAATTATAAAGAATTTCATTAAAAAGTATATGATGAAAAYATTAATTACTGTAACGTAAATAGTTTCTTGAAGAATATGAGCTGTCAGGATAACCACTGAGCAATAGAATTTCAGAGCTAAAGTGGATGTCCCAGTGCTCATCGAACAAAATAAGGAAATAGTGAGTGATTATTCACCTTTAAGTGCTGGCAGGATGGGCCTGCTCCATGATCCTCCTACTACCTTGTGATAKAGGTAATAAATTATAGGCATGCCATAGCTTAGATATAGTTTTCATTTTTGTCCTGAATTTCTCTGTTACCAAGTCATGAGACGAAGCACACTTAGAATTCAGACCAGATTTTCTGAGCTTAGTCTTCTATTGTCTATCTAATCATTGTTAGTTAAAATCCTACTATGTTTTTACTGTTGTGTTTCTATTTTTCACTTGCAGGTAAGTATATTCATTGTATATGTAATCTGTTGGGAAGCCATATGCTTTCTGCTCCAATTTCTTCTTAAACTCGCTATATTTAATATGTGGCCCTGATGGTTTGTTCATTTAGTAAGCAGATACTATGACCTATGAACTTGGTAACTTTCTCACAAGATTTAGGAACCGAATACCTAGATGTTAGATTAGGTGACACTGTAAAAGTGCTTCAAAAAATTACAATGACATTAATTTACACAGGATGCCAAGATATTTTTTTTTTTTACAATATCTTTATTTTATTTTTATGTGGTGCTGAATATCGAACCCAGTGCCTCACGCATGCCAGGTGAGCGCGCTACCACTTGAGCCACATCCTGAGCCCCCAAGATATTATAGAATAAAAAAGTTGTATGACTTTACATTATAATACTTTTAAAGTATAGCTTTGATTTTGTTTTCTCTCTTTTATAGTATGTAAAAGTGAATGCACGTTCAAGTGGGGGACCAAATTCTATCTAATATGATCAGCCTTTGGCTAAGTCATGGATTCTTTCTGAAAAAAAAAACAATTTACATGTCTTTTTAAAATTTGGATACACAGACTTAGTTATAGATACAGCTTAACAGATAGTGTACTTCTCTTTTTTGGCTAGGATACTTTCAGAGAATTATTGTTTGCGAGCTGAGCATATCACATGGTTGACAGTATGTGGTATGTACCTTACACAGGACCTGTCATCTGAAAAGAGAAAGGTTCAATCTTTCATTCTCTGATTAATCCCACTCTAGCCCTTAGAAGTGATTATCAAGAATTCTTTTTTTAAATATTTTTTAGTTTTTGATGGACCTTTATTTTATTTATTTGTATGTGGTGCTGAGAATYGAACCCAGTGCCTCACACATGCTAGGCAAGTGCTCTACCACTGAGCCACAACCCCAGCCCAAGAATTCTTGATAATTAAGAATCTGTCCCATAAATTAACAAAATAAAKGTATTGTATCCATCTACAACTTAAAAAAWTAAAAATAAAAGAATCAGGCCCACATTTTTCTTATGTGTAGCTAACCAATTATAGAAAATCAATAATTGTGCATTTATGAAGTACTTTTGTGCACTTAGCACTGTGCTGAGTGCTTATGTCTTTTAATTGTGACCAAAAAAAATCTATATTATTATTGTTATCCTCACTTTGCAGACATAGAATCATAGACCCAGTTAAATGACTTGTTCAATGTTACATAGCCATTAAGTGACAGAATCAGGATGTGTAGCCAGGTATGTCTGGCCTAGAACTTGTACTCTAAGCCAAGCTGYATTTTGACCCTATGTTAAAAGAATAGGCTGAATGCCAACCTTATRTTCCAGTAGCTTATTCTAACTTGGAGTTAGTATAACAACTATACTATAGTATAACATGTGGTTTTGAAACATTCTAATATGCTAATTTAGCATATTTACAGTTTCATTGTATTTTTGTCTTTTGAAAGAGTTGCCTTGGTCGTTAGCAGTATATAACATGGGATTTATGGAGTTAACAGTTCTTGCTATTCTTTAGATAACTGTGAAGGGGATATTTTTATTTTTTTCCTGGGAGGATCTTATTKAGATATTTATAGAGGTGTAATATAGTGTGCCTCTGAAAAAACTAACAGAGTGACCTTATTCTTTATATTTGAAGCTCCAGAATGGGAGAAGTAAAGGACAAAGACTTTGGCCACACCTTCAAAGTAAGACCAACTTTTCTTTATATTCATTTTTTATAAATGCTTGATAATTCAAGTAAAATATTGCGTTTTTAGAGTTGACTTTTTATCTACTCCTTCTAATTAAGCTCTCAAAAGGAGTTAAATCCTTAAAATGTATTCACTGGCACTTACTTCTTGAATTAGCTCATTTAAATTTGAATACCATCTTACTCCATCGGGTGCATCATCTTGGTTATATTTTTAAGAGATGTGACATCAATCAACCTGAAATGAAGCTATGACCAGACCATATTAATATTAATAATCTAGCTATGATAATAAACTATGTTAAACCAAATACCTAGCAGCAGGAAGAAGAAAGGTTGACAGGTTCTTGCTTTATAGACCATTTAATAAAATCTGGATGCYCTATAAAAGATATTCCCCTTTCCTAAGAGGAAAGAAAAAAAGTGAAGTTAAAAAATTGGTTATTTCAACCCATGCAGTCTTTCTTCTCTTAAAACACCAGCACTTGATCAAATGACATCATGCTAGGCAGAGTGTTCTACCACTGAGCAACATCCACAGTCCTTTTCTAAATTTTATTTTTTGAGACAGAGTTACTAAGCTGCTCAGGCTGGCATTGAATTTGCCATCCCCCTGCCTCAGTCTCCCAAGTAGCTGGAATTACAGACTGTGCCTGAGYCCACAACATAATTTTTAAAATGTTTCTTCTTTTGCTTGTCTAGAGGATTCCCTGAAGTGAGGGCTGAGACTCACTTTTACTCTGATAAAGCAGCCAGTTGTGCTAGAGGACACCAGGAATCAGGGCCTGATGGGCAGTGATGGAGGGCTGCAGTTTTATGCAAGTAGCTTGGAATTTGTCCTCTGCTTAGTGCGGGATCATGAACGTTTTAAGTAGGGCCGTGGCCTGATGGGAGCCTTGTGTGGCAGGCCTCTTGCCAATGCCTTATGACCCAGCCTACTGCTGTCAGTGTGCACCTGGAAACTTAGAAGAATTTTGGCAAAATTAGCCAGATGGTGTGGCTCATGCCTATCATTCTCTACCTAGTATTCTGCTCTCCAGCAAAGGCTGGTGAAAAGCTAATTAATTCCTGAATCAACACCCTTATTTCTTAAAACATTGGTGAGATGGTTCAAGTTAGCTTTTTATTTTATGATCTCCTAGTGTCAATATGAACTCAGTGTCATATGAAAACACTGGCTTCCTGTTCTATGATTAGCACACATATGTAAGCATTCCCTTTTCTACACTTTCTAAGCTGTTTGCTTTAGGTTTTGTCCAGTTTCAGAACATGTAGGAAAATACAATATTGTGTGATGAGAATACTGAATTCTCCTTATCAGGTTAAAACTTGCTGACCACCTGGTCTTYACCTGGAGATGGTTAAGGGAGAGGTTTCTTTCACTTGCCATTAAGTATTTTTTCTGCATAGCCATAGTATAGCATGGATGCTTTTTATTTTTTATTTTTTAAGCAACCAGTTTCTTCAGAACAAGATTGGAATCTCAGGGCTAAGTATAGGCAGAGAAAGGGAGAGGGTTGAAGAAAATAGGCAAAAAGAACAGCTGTGATATAAAGAAACTCAACCTGCATTGATGTGGACTTTGTTCTAATGCTTTGTAAAAATTATTTCTCTCTCATCCCCCAGGAGAACCAGTAAAGACATCCATTCAGGAATCAGGAGCRTTTTTCCTTCAGGTACAGAATAAATTATCTGATGTGGTATTGTATTGTATGCACAGTGTCTGCAGAGAACACTGACTTCTTTAAAAATAACTACCCATAAAGAATTCTCTGTGACATTGRGACACCCTGCATGTTATTCTCCTGAGAACTCATTTGCCAAGGAAACTTCAATCTAACAAAGAGAAAAATACTAAAGTGGATTCTGTTAGTGAACTTTGGAATTCAGGGAGACTCCAAAGTGACACCTCTTGTTTCAGCTGAGTGATTACTGAATGCACAGGAAGGCAGGGACAACACACTGAACTTTGATGTGTTCTGGCTTTTTCTTGGGTTGATACCTCTTCTCTTAGGAAGAGGCAAGAGTACAACCATTTGTACTGGTTTGGAAAACTATCATTTATTTCTACTTTAGGTTACTGTGGAGGCATATGATCCATTTTTTTTCTCCCTGTTTCAAATGATCTTTATTCTGTAGAGCTAAGACATGCAAAAGACTGTAATTTTCATTTAATTTAAGTAAAAACTGAAATAACTTGTTTGTCTTAAGCACTACACTAATAGAGAAAAATTTTGGTATTAACGGAAAATGTCAGCTATGATAACTTCAGGCTGTATCTGCTGAGTGATTCAGCCAACAAAGAGATGTTTAAGGAACTTCAAAAGAAGAGATGGAATATAAGTGGGACCTTTTGGAAACAGAACAATATCTAGAGTCTTTAACAATCTCTGTCTTTCTTTTCCAGCACATCTCTGAAGAGAGATACAAGATGCAGAGCAAGCCCCTTGGAATCTGCTTGATAATCGATTGCATTGGCAATGACACAGGTAGGTGTGGAAGCTGCAGATTGATTGATGCTTCCCAGTGTGATCATGGCACAGATGAGTTGTATCCAATAGGGTTATCAACATTAGCTTCTGTCACAAAACACCCTAGACGGTGACATTTGTTTTTCACTTATATCATAGTGTGGTGTGGATTGGAATGGGGGAGCTTTGCTCCGMGTGGCCACTCAGTGGCTCCATCACCTTCCAAGGCTGTGGAGTCTTCTTCAGGGTCCTCTCCATCTGGCTGGTAACTGAGAAAAGAGAGAATGTGTGGAGGATCTCATAACAGATTTAGAGACCGGACCTGAAAGTGATATGCATCATTTTCCCCCACATTCTCTTGGTTAGAACTCATTTGTGGGGCTCCAGCTAACTGGTGGAYATGGATAAATTGGTCTAGCTGTGTGTTGGGAGGAAAATGAAATGAATTTGGGGACCCCTAAAGCACCAATGAAGGCTGGTGCTTTAGTCTTGCCTTTCCATCCTGGATGCTATGGCAGGGAGGAGTCCTGGGATTCAAGGAACATTTATAATGGAAGGCATTCTGGCTTCCAATATTATCAGATAATCTTCACTTTCCCTGGGGACATGAAATATATGATAAATGTGTGTGTTGTTTAGAGGGCTGCGAATATTGTGTGAGCCATGACTCACTTAGGTATGCATCCTTTACTTGGTTGTTGATGTACCTGGGTGTCACTGGCCTTTGGTCTGAATAGATTCTTTTGCTTGGCTGTTGGAGGTCTGACTCAAACTGAAACACTGATGATGCATCAAAAGAGAACGACAAGAGCCCAGATTCCATGGAAGAACATTCTGTTTAATTATTTATCTCTTCCTTGTGGGGATGATCATCATAGTTACACATTTTCCAGCTTCTCAACATTCTCTTAGAATGAGTCAGAATTATCTTTTAGTTTTACTTAAAATGTTACCATGGGCAGTTTTATGAAAAAGAGTCTAAGAGAAGGTCAAATTAGCAGACACAAGACTGAATTTCCCAGGATTTCAGCTATGATCCTGCTTTCTCATGTCCTATTTTTGGTCAGATGTGAGAAATGCTGTCTCCTCTGCTATAGATAAGTGTCCTTTCTTTTTTAGYTATTAGTGCCCATATAAGAACGAGGAAATAGCTTTCCAGTGAGTCACTTTCTGTTTTAAAGGAGATTGTGTAATTGTCCTTTACTTGTAGTTGTTATCATTCTTGTTTGATTCACCAGCAGAAAACTTCCTAACTGGATGTGATTTTCTTTGTTTTATGAATATCTATTGTGTTGAAAGAGTTATAGAGATAAAGCCATGTCCTGTTTTGAATTGAAAAACTCAGTTATTTGTGGCTTAAGTCCAAAGTCTGTGCTTGCTTTCCTTTCTGAGTTGTGGGTCTTTTGTGGACAGAGACTAAATGCATATTTGTGTTTTTCTGCACTGTAGGAGTGTGGTCAGAGCTGGGTCCTAGAATATAATTGGCATAAGCTTAAACTATGGATCTGTAGTGCCCTAGGTTGTGGCCTTGGGCAACTTTTCTAGTATCTTAAGGCTTAGTTTCTCTATTGTAAACTGGATTAATAATAGGACCTATCTCATAGAGTGGTTGGGCAGAGTGAGTTCATACTTATAAAAAGCTTGGAACAGTGAGCGGCATATTGTAACCATGTACTAATGCCAGCTAACACTATTTTCTCGTTTTGTTTAATTTTAGTTACAAAATACTAACCAAACATTCACCATGGCTTTATGCTTGGCATATGAAATCTTATTTTAGACAAGTGAGGRATCGGAGTACTGAGGACCTGAGCCCTGCACTGATCTCAAGGGTTAATGGGGCATGTTCCCACAGGTGTGGCATCCTGAAATGCAGGCAGTTACCTGAGAGGGGGTGAATGCTTGAGGGAAAACCCAGGTGGAGCACTTCTGTCAGTCATCAGTCTCAATGGACTTGGCAGAGAAAGAAAATCTAAGTATAAAAGCTAGAAAGTAGGGGAGCAGAGACCTGAGAAGGGAGAAAGATGGTAAAGGAAGGTAGAATTGGAGGTAGAGCTTGGGGAATACCTTTGGCCTGAGATGTGAGCAGGTACTGGCTTCGGGTGCATTGAGATGTCCCTTTTCTGTTCCTTSGCTACTGATGAGTCTGTATGTGAACCTCAGGAGTCAAAATGGTAGCTCCAGGCAGCAAGTCCTTCCTGGTCAGTAGACTCCTTTCAAGTTCAATATCTCAATGGTAGAATTCTGGGCTAGATTGGGCCTGGGTCAATAAAGGGTATTCCAGATGCTCATCACCACCCTTCCCCTGAGAATCAGCGTTCTYTTGACTCAAGCCCTTCTTGCCCCTCAGAACAAAACAGATAATTTGGCTTGAGGCACAGGTGGCTGATTAACAGATAGGAAACAGGACAACACACTTCTACTCAAATGGGGGTGTGCCCTGAACCCACTTATTCACTTAGCTGAGGCTTAGAGTAGCAGGGGTGTGTTAATTATCATGAAGTGGAAGGACACAATCTCCCCTTCTCATACACTCTCTCTAAGCCTCCAGTTCTTGGTTTTCACACCCTCGCCTTCTGGGGACTTTTCACTGAGAACTCTGGACCTGGAATCCTGCTTTGGTAGAAAGTAGTCTCAATCAGGTGCAGCACACTTAATTTCCACCGTATCGATAGTTGGTTATCTTCATCTAGAGCGATTATGTGTTTTTTTTTTTTTCTGATTATCTTTGCCAACTTTAATGTTGAACAGAATTAGGTAATAAACAAGTAGACAAGATCATTGTCAAGCTCACTGTCAAGAGAAACAAGGGCTCTGGAGGAAATTAGTAGTAAGGTGGTCAGATTAATGTGGGGGTAGTAGTAATGGGAGTATATRATTTATGAAAAATCCACTCAGCTGGGTGCAGTGGCACATGCCTGTAATCCAGGGTCTCGGGAGGCTGAGGCAGCAGGATTGCAATTCAAAGTCAGTGTAAAATAGGTACTATTATCTCCATTTTCAAGATGACCAAGCTGAACAGTGAGCTACCTTCCTAATTTCTCTTGTACGGAGAGATCTAGGATTCAAAAACCTATGGTTTAAACCACTTTGCTTCARTGTAAATTCCATCAGCATGGATGCAGTTGTTTACTTATCTCTTACAATGTGTCTCCAATACCTGGAACAGTACCTGGCACATATGTGCTCAGTGAATATTTGTTAGGTGAACAAATGAAGGAACAAGCTCTTCTAGTGTCAGTGTATTCCCAAAACCATTCCTATTTATCTTGAGAGTTTAGTAGACTCTCTACTGTCTTCTCCTTTTAGCCTCAAAAAAACTAGACTTCCATCCAAACAGTATGCCAGTCCCCTAAATATTTATTAGTTTATATTTTTCTTATCCAATAAATGTTATTGAGCACCTACTGTGTACAAAGTGCCACTCTTGGCCCAGTGCAAAGCCAATATGGAGGCAATGAGGTGGAGTCTGCTTTCGAAGCCAGGCTGTGAGTAAAGACAGGGTTATTCTATGTGACYTGTTTTTGAGAAGAATCCTCGTAGGGGTCAGTAACCTCATCTTGAGGCAGACATTAATGCTTAGGGATTTGGGACTAATTACGTCAGTTTGGTAGAATTAAAAAACAAGTCTATGGTGTCTTGTGGCCTGTATCAGTGACCTAGCAAAGGCTGGCCTATGCTGGGCCCTGATTGGCCATTTGAGTGACAGACTCTTGATCTTGTTAGGAATGTGGAAACAAATATATCACATTGCTGATAGGCGGACTTTGGGAGTTGGGCGGAGGCAACCAATGTTTTCCAGGCTTCTGAGTAAAAGATGGTGTTTGCAGATTTTAAGAAGATTTTTTTTCCCCCTTTCTTTTTTTTCTTCTCTGCTATTTCTGGAAAGCTTGATTTTTTTTTTCCCTGTGCTTTAAAACTGGCTAACTCTTCAGTTTTCTAGCAGACACTGCAGGTTTCCTCTTCTAACAGGGCAACAGGAGTACAGTGCAGACCCTTTGCTGGTGCTGCTGACTTGAACTTGAACTCTTGGCTTCCTTTTCCTCTTTTTCTTTTAATGGAATARGTGGGATCCTGACCAGTAGCATTTTCTTGTAGTAACACTTATAGGAAAATCTCTGCAAGGGGATCAGAACAACCACTGTGGCCTCTGCTTGTGAGCTACAAAGACAAGTAGCAAGTGACATCCCAGATAGTAGATGGAGGCTTTGTTCAGATGGAGCAGTCACCGCATGCTTCTGGCCACCTGGAAAGCCAAGGCAGTGGAGCCTCCTTGTTTTTCGCTCCTGGTGTTACTATACCATTATGGAAGGCCTCCTCCTGCAGGCAAGGACCAGGAGTCTGTGATTGGGCATTTTTTTTTTCCTGGGCATTCTTATCCTCTGGGACTAAGCAGCTATTTACTTGAAAGGCTACCATCATTAATGGAACTTCCCTTTAAAGCAGAGTCACTTGGAGGCTGTCCTACTTAGTGATCCCTTATTTCACAGCGTYCATACATTTAGTGTATATGTAAGAATTATAGGTCCACAATCCCAATAGGAGGACCCTGGTATTTCAGAATTTAGAAGTTTCTAGGAAGATGACACGCTACATATACTGTAATTTATAGAACACTTTAGTGGGGCCCAGGATAGCACCCCATAATCAAATATGTTAATATTTTGGTAGCAAAATGAATGAATATTCACCACTAAATAGGATAGATCTCATGAGTTCAGAAAAGGTTTTGCCACCAAATGATTTTGGGGAAAGAACTTAAGATTTTCTGAGCTTTTCAGATGCTACAATTGTGGATAAAGGATTGTAGATAYGTGGAAGAACAAAGTATTTTTAGGTTGTCTGGGGTACTCTGAAAACCTCTCTTGACATGCAGCTGACATATTTATTATTGATATGATTTTCTCCAAATATAAGTTGGTCTGGAAGGAATCACTAGTAATCATCTGTGTTTTATGAAGAAGACATTTAAAAAGTAGTTTATAATTTTGAGTGTATGTAGAAGTGAGCCCTCTGTGGCTTGGCTGAACAAGTGCAAGTTGATATATGCTAGGCAAAYCTGCTCCTACCTTCTCAGTCAGTCTTCTATCTTTGCTTTCATTCATCATCAAATCTACTTGGTGATGGAGGGGGTGGTCCTTGGCCCTGTTTTTTCAGGTCCCAGCTTAAATTATACCTTTCCCATGGTGCCCTCTCCAGTGTTTTAGATCACAYTGATCTTGCTTTTCTAACCACCTACTTTTCCTAGATTGAACCATGAACCTTGCGGCATTTCAGTCATTTTTTATGTACATTTATAGGCTTTATTTCCCCYGAATTAAAAGCTCCTCTAAGGACAAGAATGACTTTGTGTACTTGATCTGTATCCCAGTGTTTCTATAAGGTAAAAATAGTGGAAACTTAGTAAAAGCTGAGTACTGCAGTCAAGTCAATTTGAGAAATGCTCTGTAGTTGTTCCCCTTTTAGAGATTCAAAAAGTATATCCACCTGGTAAGGTCTCTGGGAAGTCCTGCATAGAACTATTTTAACCTTGTCAATCTTGCATTTTCCACATAATTGGACCTCAGAACACCCTTTTCCACTCAGAATATCCTGCCCATCATGTATTCTGCTCATGTGCTTTATGTTTATTAAACCCAACTTAGTAAGGATGTTTGATAAATTATTGTAAATTCTCTTATTTATTCTATTAATGGAGCCCTTTTCGGGGTAATTGTGAAGTTGCCCTCATTTAGAGAAAAGCGAATTCTAAATTAATGAGGTCATGACATTTCACTGGATTAAATTCCTCAGGCKTAATTATGATTGCCCAAACCTGTGAGTAGTGCCAATGATGGCCCCTCTACCCGAAACCCTGTACTAACTGCAAAGCCAGAAGAAGAAAACCCATTATTTTAGAAGGTCTTTTCAAAGTTGAAATTTACCAAGCTAGGTCTAGGGTGRGAGTGGGGTGTCCAGGATATGTAGAAAGAGAAGTGGATTTCTGCTTTTTGTTGAAGTTTTTTTCTTTTTTTCCAAACTCAGCACCCAAGTTTTTCTTCCCCTATTTGTTGGTGAAGACATGATAGTGAAGTGGTATATGGGACACAGAATCCATCTGCCCTGAGCCCATTTTAGTGAGAATGTAGAGACCTCCTCTGGTCTCAAGAGACAGCTTCCATGAAGAGGCTCACAGGCTCCCTGGCTTGGAGTTTGAAATGGCTTCGTTAATCTTTTGATTTGTCTCTTATATTTGAGTAAATATTCAGTTTGCAAGCATCTTTACAGAAATCTCATTGGCTCCTTACAGGTACCTTTTGAAGAACAAGGTTTAGTGTATATCCCAGTTACTTGGGAGTCTAAGGGAGAAGGATCACAAGTTTGAAGCTGCCTGGGTTACTCAGAGATACACTGTCTCAAAAATAAGATTTAAAAGGGCTGTGGGTGTGATTCAGTGGTAGAGTGCCTGCCTAGCATGGGTGAGGCCCTGGGTTTGATCCCCACCACCACAGGACATAAAACAAACAAAACCTAGATATACTAGGTATATTAGTATTAATCCCATTTTACAGATGAATAAACAGAAGCTGTAATTTACTCAGTCACACTGTCACAGCCCCCTTCATTCTATAAATTAGGTTGGGCCGTCTGCTCTTGCTGGCCCAGAAGGGAAACAACAAATGCCAGCCTACGTCCCTGCCACCCTACCTCACCATCTAACAGAGGAAAATATACTAACGAGGAACGTTAGCTGTGGTGACTTTGGGCTGTGTCTGTTGGGTGACTCCCTCTTGACAGAAGGATATTGGAAAGCCACTCTGTCTTGTTGAGGCCCATCCAGATTTGGTGTTTTTCTTGGCTTAGTTGTGGCATCTGGGACTAGCATGGCTTTTGGTTTCATCTCTGCCTTTAGCGTTTTTTTCCCCCCTATTCTCTTAAGTAAGGTTTTCCTGCCCCAGACCTCAGATTCCCATTCCCTTCTTAGTTCGCCTGCTAATATAGATGGGTTCTCTTCTAAGATCAGGCTAGGTGGAGGCTCCAGGAAGAGGAGCGGGAGGAGGGGCATGAGCTGGAATTTACAATCTGATCTTGTGGTTCCAAGACTGGTTCCTCTTTTGCCAGCTGCCTACTGGTTGCCACATGACAGGGACTACACCAGGGAACCCAGATAAAGGAAAAAGCTAGAAGGCACCAGGACAACATTTCAGTCCCATTCCCACATAGAAACGTGTGAGGGACTGTGGTGAGCTCTCTTTCAAGGACTGTGATAAGGAAGGGCATTTATCAGTGAGGAGAGAGGGTTTTGAAGGAAGGGAACCAGCTGGAAATAACAAGTAAACAAAAGAGCTCTGAATCTGGTGTTTCCCTGTTCGCTTCTGCCCCCTAGAGGAGAGATCAGTCCATGAAGAGAAATGTGTGTCATGACAGGAAGAGTTTGGAAAGAAGTGGTAGTGACAGGGCTGCTCTCCTAGACTATATTATCTTGTTGCCCTGTGCTGTGTCCAGCCTAGGTATGGTACTGGGCACTGAACCCTTGGGCACAGCCTGGGGAGATGGCTAGGGTCATTGCAGCCAGGCCTTTCCACCATTCAGCATTCTTAGTAGGGCAAGTGTGTTAACAGGCTATCAGAAACCTGAGAATCATGTGCTGATTCATTAGAGGTATAATAGCCTTCTTTGTATCTCTTCATTATTATAGGATATTATAATTCATTTTTTCATACTTAACAGAGACCCAAACAAGCAAAAGAAAAAAGTAACTACAGTCTCAAGTCAGGGTGACTGTCATTCCTTTTTCCTGATAGAAATCAAAGAACTCTTCTCATGAATTATTTATCTAACAATGTGTACAAATCACTTCAAAATTTAGTAGCTTAAAACAACAATACTTATTTAATTATATTTATCACAATTCCAGTAGGTCAGGAATTTAGGATCAGCTTAACTGGGCTGTTTGGGCCCATTTTTCTGGTGATTAGTTGTCAGCAGGGGCCTCTGAAAACTTGGTTGGGATTGGAGGATCTGTTGCTAAGGAGATCCATTGCCATGGCGGGGAAGCTGGTACTGATTGTTGGTGTGAGTCCTCAGTTCTTCTGCGTTTGAGTCTCTCCAAGGTGCTAGGTGCCTGAGTGTTCTCAAGAAGCAGCATTGGTTTCCCCACAGGGCGAATCATTCAAAAGAGAGAAAAAGTCAAGTGGAAATTGTATCCTTTTGATGTTCTAGCTTTGTCAGTCCCATGCTATCACTTCTGCCACAAAATTAGAGATGTGTAATGGGTGGGTCAAAAGGACATGGATTTTTGAATGGAGAAGAAAAAAAGTTTCTATTTTCTATTAGAAAATATATAAATTGATTTATGAGGGTGTGTTTATTCCTCCACTAAGGGTAGACTGAGCAGATGAGAAAAATGAACTTAGTTGCATCTGTAGGGCCATCAAAACTTCTAGAAGACAAACAAAAAGATTCTAAACAAGAGAATAGGAGGTAATATTTACTGAGCACCAAGAGTTTATTTGTACTGTTTTATCCTCACAACAATCTTGTAAGGTGGTTGTCATTCCAACTAAAGCCAGAGAATCCCACTTTCTTAAAGTCATATAGCCTAAGGTGGTGGTAAAGTCAGGGCTGTCTGGATTAATGTCTGCTCTTGCTACTACCTTACACTGGCCCTCAGGATGCCTGGGAGAAGACTCTTTGGGGGTATTTTAGAGAATCTTGGCTAAGTCTCAGTTGCTCAGGCAGAAGTTGGTCACACTGGGAAGCAGATTGTGATAGGAACTGGGAAGTCCAGAAATGGTCTTGACTTAAACCAAGGGGCTTCTGAATCAGTCCATGGCAGGTTGAAGGAACTCATGACCTGTGCTGCTTTTTCTACAGCTATTTGGATCTAGGCTTGGATTTGTACTCCACAAACACTTCCATTCCAGTATGTGTGGGTTATTGTTAAGACTTGTTATTTTAAGAAAGAGCCTTTTGAAAAATCCCCAACTTTGTTTCAGTTGAAAAGAAAAAGATTTTATTCTTCTTGTTTGATTGGACTGGAGTGGGCTGTCTGTGCCTATGGTCACATATGCTGGTGGTGACAGGCAGAGACAGTGGTGTCGTGGAGAACAGACCAGCCTTGTCAACCTGGGGCATGAAAGTCACATATTTCATATTTTGGATTTCTTCTTCCTGTCCAGTTTTCAGGCCCCTTAAAATACTGTCACACAGAAACAAAGAAGAAAAGGAGACTAGACTAGATACCCAGTTCCTAGCATTCCAATTTCTTGGGCTTTTCTGACTCCAGTGTTGTTTTCCATGTTTGTTTATTTTCTCCAGAAGTTCTTCGACACACCTTCACTTCCCTGGGCTATGAAGTCCAAAATTTTTTGCATCTTCGTGTGAAAGACATAAGCCATGTTCTTCACCAAGTTGCCAATCTGCCCCGACACCGACACCATGACAGCTTTGTGTGTGTCCTGGTGAGCCGAGGAGGCTCCCAAAGTGTGTTTGGCGTGGATGAGACTCACTCAGGGTTATCCTTGCATCATATCAGGAGGATATTCATGGGGGACAAATGTCCTTCCCTCATAGGGAAACCAAAGCTCTTTTTTATTCAGAACTATGTGGTGTCTGAGGGCCAGAAGGAAGACAGCAGCCTGCTGGAGGTCGATAGTCCAGCGGTGACCAATGTGGAATCCAAGGAACCAAAGCCTGGGCCAAGCACGGTTCACCGAGAAGCTGACTTCTTCTGGAGCTTGTGCACTGCTAGTGTGTCCCTGCTGGAGCAGGCCTCTAGCTCACCCTCCTTGTACCTGCAGAGCCTCTCTCAGAAGCTGGAGCGAGAAAGGTGAGCCACCGAGGAGACCAATCCTGACCTCATTTATTGTCCTGCTACCAAATGTTTGATGTCATGTTTGATGCCTTCCTGGAGGAAAGGGATTTTTCTTTCCCCATGAGGCTTGTCTTAGGGGTATAATATAGACCAGTTCAACTTACGAACACTTTATGTTAGCCAGCTTGTAGTTTGGATATTTTTCTTTAAAGCTCAGAAATTTTAAAATTTCTTACTACAAGAACAATACATAAAATCATAAATATAGATGCTGAAAACAGAATGTAACAAGCATTTGTAATCCTCCTAACTAGAACCATCCTCTGTTAACCAAATGTTAGTGTGCCGCCTCCAGGCATTTTTTTTTCTTGGAGGGGGGATTCCCACACAATCCTAGATACAACCCATATGGAATCATCATTGACTATTACTTTACAACTTACTTTTAGTTTGCTTAATGGTAGATCACAGACATTTTTGCATGTCAATAGTCACATTGGGACAACATCATTTTTAATTTTTGCAAAGCAGCTACCAATATGGCTATAGCTTATTTTACTCAACTGACCCTTAGTCATCAGATACTGTTTTACTTTTACACAAAGAAAGGGTTAAAAGCATCTTTACAGCTTGACATCTTGCTTATAAGAATTGTTTCCATGGAGTGAATTCCCAGACATGGAACCACTGTGTCAAAGGGCATGCAAGCTTTGGATACCTCTGACTTAATTGTCTTCTAGGACACTTATGCCAGTCTCATATGAGAGTTTCTATGTCCCTGAACTCTCACTGATAACTGCATGCTCTTTTTTTTTTTTTCCATGTTTTGACAGTTTGATGGGTGAAAAAATGGCATCTGACTGTTCAGGTCTGCAGATTGTTGTTACATATAGTAATCACCCTTATCTGATGCTTTGCTTCGGTCACTGTCAACTACAGTCTAGAAATATTAGGTGGAAAATTACAGAAATAACTTACTCATAAATTTTAAACAACTTTTATACAGAATATTGTTGTAATTGTTCTGTTTTTATTATTGTTGTTGTTAATCTCTTTCTGTGCCTAATATGAAAATTAAGCTTAATCATAGGTATATAGTTTTGGGAAAAGCATAGTATGTGCAATGTAGATATATGGTGCTAACTGTGGTTTCATGCACCCACTGAAGCTCTTAGAATGTATCTTCTGTGGATAAGGGGCTGCTGTAAACATTTTTGATGTTTATTGTCAAGAATGCTTTCCTAAAGGAAACACTGGCATCCTGGTTTCTAGATAGGCTGAGGGAAGCCACAGTATACCTTAAGTGTAAGATTAATTGACCTTTGTAGGGCCTCTTAATTATAATTGAGAATGATATTTTTGAGCCGCCTGTTGAATGCATTCTGGGTTGTAGCTCTGAAGACCCAGGAACAAATCTCACAGCTTTCTTTCCCCAGTCCCCTCCATGGTGGCGCAGCAGGAAGGGAAGGGCCTTAGCAGGAACAAGTCAGACTTCAAAGGTTGATGCTCTATGGGCCAGTGGTATTATTGACCCTTTACACCCATCCTGCATTTGCATAGTTGACCCAGGTGGGTTATGGTCCAGCCAGTGTGTTCTCAGAATAAAATTCTGCTCTCTACAGAGAGGGAACTGTGGCTGTTGGACCAGTGCCACCAACTGGTTTGGATCATTCTTGAAGCAGCTTGTGGAATGTCTAGAAAGGAACAATTTCAAAGAACTTTCACATCTGTTGGCTTATTTTACCCTAATGACAATATGTCTTCTCTTTGATATTTGCTTAACATTAAAATTTGCCTTTCTCATTTCCTCCAGAAAACGCCCACTTCTGGATCTCCACCTTGACCTCAACCGCAAAGTGTATGATTGGAACAGCAGAGTTTCTGCCAAGGAAAAGTACTGCCTCTTTTTGCAACACACCCTGAGAAAGAAACTCATCCTGTCTCCCACATGAAAACCCCAAACCTTTCTTCACCTGGAGGTCTCCTTCTCTAGAGAGAGAGTGGTTTTCAAGCATGCATGCATGTGAATGGTATGTGGAATAAGATACTGCACAATGCTGTACAATGAGGAATGCTTGACTGGAAGTGGGGTTTGAACTGTCTGAGAAGAAAGTATCGGCATCTGTTGCTGAAAGAGCTGGCCAGGTCAGCCTTGGGAGGGAAAAGCTTCAAAACAACAGTTGAGCACTGTTGAATTGGGCAAGTACCAATCAAGTGAACCCAAGATACAGAGATCAGCTTAATTAACCTGTGTAAATCCATACTCCATCTTAAAAAGTAAAATGCAAATGCAGATTGAGGAAATCAGAACACCACAAACAGGGTCTTGCCTTCTAGAAACAACAGCAGTTAACCAAAACTTTGTGTATCACCTGGCAAATTTTTTTCCTGCTCCCAAGATTTAAGTGTAAGAGAGAGGTTATCTTAGTCCATTTGGGCAGCTACATCAAATGATCATAGACTTGATAGCTAAACAGCACACATTTATTTCTTACAGTTCTAGAGGCTAGCAAATCCAAGGTGCTGTCAGATCCTGTGTCTGGTGAGGGCCTTCTTGGTTTTCAGAGAGCTATCTTCTGTTCTCAAATGGCAGAAAGAGAGGGAGGGGTTGGGGAGGAAGAGGGACAGAGAGAGAAACTTGCAATACACCTTCTGGTCTGTTATTGTTTAGTGAGTGGGGGACTCCTGCAGTTATCTTTATATTTACTTTGCTTAGGGGCATCAGGAGGAAATACTGTGTCTGTGTGGCCCTGTGAACCAGCACCCCATGCTAATTATAATAGAGAGAATGTAAGAAGAATCTTAATGCAGCTTTGGTTGCCTTCTGCAGTTCCATCTTGACAAAGTGACAAGCATTTTCCATTTATTCTTTTTCTTATCATAAACAATTACAGCCACACGCATGCCAGGCAAGCGCGCTACCGCTTGAGCCACATCCCCAGCCCGTATTTTATTTATTAAACTTATTTATTGTTTAAATAAAGTGTTCTAAAATATACATGGAGACTTATATTTCTTTAAGGCAATATAAGAGATAAGAAAGAACAAAATTGGTGGTTTAGAGGAAGTCTGTACTTTCCAGTTACTCCACAGCTTGGGATTTGAGCAATGGGAATACTGCTCAGCTAGATGGGTGACCGAGGGAATTTACTAAAATTCAATAGAGGTTGGTTAGACATAGAGAAACTCAGAAATTCTGGTGTTTCAAACAGGACTAAAAAGAGCTCATCAGAGTCAACAGAGGGTGGCAGCACCTCCAGGTCACTGCAGAGAAGAAGGACAACACAAAGGGAGAGAGAAACACAGCAGACAAATTTGGCACTGGAACGCCTGTAGAATAAAAAGGCATTTGGAACTTAGCTGATCCAGAGGCTGCACAGAAAGCTGATGCCCTGGATCTCTCAACATGGGAGTGAAGAGCTGAGGCAGGGAGACAGCTGGTAGAGGTCATGAAGGAACTTGTTGATGCAGGAACCCAAGAGAGCATTGTGAATACTGTCATACTGTCCCAGCCAGTGTCTACTGAGGCATAGGGTGCACCTAGCAATTGAAACAGGCACAGAGAAGATTGTAATCATGGAGATTTAGGTCAGAGATTACAATAGGGAGTACAGCTCTTTCCCTTCAAGTCTGTTGGCTTGGACCACCAGCTGAAGAGGGTCAGGAAACCTGAGATGCAGCTCAGGAAGGCCATATTCACAGGTAGTGGAGTGTCTGAGACCCGCTGTGCCCACTTCATCCAGGGTGGCTGGTTACCAAGACCTACAAATAGAATTCTGGGGAGGCTCCTGAGATCCACATGCCCAGAAGAGATCAGCAACTACCTGATCTAGTTTCTCTGGAGTAGATACCATCTGACAAAGTTCCAAAATTCTGATCAGAGCTAGACTTCAGCCAATGGAACTTCCCATTTAGAATTCTGCAGAAGCTCCACCCTGGGAGCACATCTGTCTAGTCTGTCCAGACAAAACTCCAACAGACACTGCTTCCCATTCCATTCTACTTAGTACAGGTGAGTAGGGAAGTCCAGAAGCATTTCAATCTGTTTTGATTTCAGGCCACTCCAGTCAGCAGCTTGGTGAGCAAAAACGAGAAAGGGTTTAATAACCCTCACCCCTTGCTTTCTCTAAGGGGTGCATAACCCAAGAAGAAATGGAAAGAAGGACAGTCTGGAAGTCTGGTATAGTCAATGAACATCTATCCTTGTTAGTAGTTTCAACTACCTTTCTTCAATTTTTCTTTAAGATTTTTTCTTGTATTTGCTGATATATATATATATATATATATATATATATATATATACACACACACACACATATGTATCTTTTTATCATTTTTTTCTTTTTTATTATCTTTTTGTTAATATTATTTTTTTTGGTACTGGGGATTGAACCCAGGGGCACTCAACCACTAAGCCACATCCCCAGCCCTTTCTGTATTTTATTTAGAGACAAGTTCTTGCTAAGTTGCTTAGGGCCTCGTTAAGTTGCCCAGGCTGGCTCTTGAACTCTCTATCTTCCTGCCTCAACCTCCCCAGCTGCTGGGATTGTAGGCATGCACCACCACACCTGGCTTGTTTTGTTTTTTGAAGGTATTTTTAAGTTTTAGTTTTTATCTCTTGTTACTTTCTCCACTTTCTTCTCTCTGTAATAACCAAATTATCTTGTTCTTTCTCTATCTCAGTCTGTATTTTGTTTCTTTTATTTTTTCCTCTCTCCTTCTTTATGTCTTCACATGCTACTTCTCTTCTGTCTTCTCTCCTTTCACCTTTTGAATATTCCTTTTTCTTTAAATATTTATTTTTTAATTATAGTTGGACACAATGCATTTATTTTATTCATTTATATGTGGTGCTGAGGGATAGAACCCAGGGCCTCACACGTGCTAGGTGAGTGCTCTACTGCTGAGCCACAACCCCCGTCCACTCCTTTTAAATATTCTTAACTTCCTTTTGCCTTCCTACTCCATTTTCTTTTCTCTGAATTATCTGTATTTTTATTATATTTAAAAACCATTTAGTTTATATAACTCCTGCCTCATCATTTATGTTGCAGTGGCCGTTGGTGTTGTGGATGTTGTAGTGGACACCTGGTGTTTACTTTAATGACGTGTCTACTTCATGCCTGTAGTTTGTTTTTGCTGTTGTTAATTTCCAACCCCACCATTCTTGTTTGTGTGGTTATTTAGAGTTATAGATATCATGGTAGGTTCCTAGTATTTACTTTAATGATGTATATTGTTCTCTGCCTTTATTGCTGGTTTTTATATCCCCCTTTTCTGTGAGGTATTGGAAATCTAGTTATACTGCTGAGCTACACCCCAAACCCAGCTAAAAGACAGCACACTTGGTCCCAAACCCACTCAAACTTCAGCAATACTTTAACACACACATTCACACACACACACACACACAAAATAGAGGAGCAAAAAACTCCCACAGAGGCCCTCTACAGAAACAGCTAGGGAGGGGCCTCAGGTCCCATTTGTGAACATCTGCTCCTATGGCAGATGTGGACATCACACCTATGTAGAGACTCAACCTAGAGCACTCCTAAATTACAGACATACAGACTTGTCAAGTTTAGAAGAGCTACCACAGAGGGCATACCTTATATGTCCTGCTGTATAAAACACAACTGCCTGATCTGCTAGAAGGATCACACTCTTGTGTGTCCTACAGAAAAAGTGGGATCTTAAGCTCCAACACATTACAGTGCTATATCAAAGTGTACTATCATCCCCCCAAATGATCAGGGAAACTATACTACAACATCCACTTGGAAATATATTCAACAACTTACAACACTCTGATGTCCCAGAACACATTACCAAGAGAAGGTTGGTAAAAAAATCCCTCCCATCAGAGTACAAGAGAACTCTGTCCCAATAGATGAACAAATCATAACACAAAATAGAAATATAAGAAATATAAAACAAGGTAACATGACATCTCCCAAGGTTTATAATTCACCAACAACTGACTCAAAAGATATTGAAGTAGATTGAAATACTGGATTAAGAATTTAAAAGAATACCAGGTGTGGTGGTGCCTGCCTATAATCCCAACAACTCAAGAGACTGAGGCAAGAGGATCACAAGTTCAAAGCCAGCCTCAGCAACTTAACAAGGCCCTATGCAACTTAGGGAGATCCTGTCTCAAAATAAAACATAAAATGGGCTGGGGATGTGGCTCAGTGGTAAAGCCATCACTACGATAAATTCCTAGTACCCCCCCCCCAAAATTTTTCAAAAGAATAATTATAAAAAGATCAACAAATTCGGATATACAGTCAATCAACAAGTACATGAAAAAATGCTCACCATCTTTAGCAGTCAGAGAAATGCAAATCAAAACCACCCTAAGATACCATCTCACTCCAGTAAGATTGGCAGCCACTATGAAGTCAAACAACAACAAGTGCTGGCGAGGATGTGGGGAAAAGGGTACACTTGTACATTGCTGGTGGGACTGCAAATTGGTTCGGCCAATTTGGAAAGCAGTATGGAGATTCCTGGGAAAGCTGGGAATGGAACCACCATTTGACCCAGCTATTGCCCTTCTCGGACTATTCCCTGAAGACCTTAAAAGAGCGTACTACAGGGATACTGCCACATCGATGTTCGTAGCAGCACAATTCACAATAGCTAGACTGTGGAACCAACCCAGATGCCCTTCAATAGATGAATGGATAAAAAAATGTGGCATTTTTTATACACCATGGAGTATTACGCAGCACTAAAAAAATGACAAAATCATGGAATTTGCAGGGAAATGGATGGCACTAGAGCAGATTATGCTTAGTGAAGCTAGCCAATCCCTAAAAAACAAATGCCAAATGTCTTCTTTGATATAATGAGAGCAACTATGAACAGAGCAGGGAGGAAGAGCAGGAAGAAAAGATTAACATTAAACAGAGACATGAAATGGGAGGGAAAGGGAAAGAAAAGGGAAATTGCATGAAAATGAAGGGAGACTCTCATTGCTATACAAAATTACATATAAGAGGTTGTGAGGGGAATGGGAAAATAA